TATTCATTTCAAACGGGCCAGATCCGGCCCGCGGGCCGTAGTTTGCCCACGGCTGGTCTAGGGAGTCGCAGTGGGGGACTCAGAAGGGAGGAGAAAATGGGAGCAAAGAGGTGAGTGGAGGAATTTGGGTTCTGTGCAGGAGTATGTACCCAACTATCATATTTCCCAAATGGGAGGCATTTGTGTACCCCATCCAAATTTTTGCGATCTCTGCTATTATTAATAATGTTTTCTTTTCAATCAACTCATGTTTTTATTCAAATAAATTAATCTACAAAGGAAATTTCAAATCAGCACTGTTAAGGGAAATCGATTCAAAGTGTAAGGGAGCCAGAAAAAATAAGCGCATGGATAATAAAACAATTCGTTTGGTTTCTCTTCTTTTCTGGCAACTTGCTGTTGCACAGCAAAGACTCTGGGCTCAGAGCCCGCTCGTTCTTTCTTTAAGAAAAAAGAAAAGAGTGTCGGCGAAGCACTGGACGGGGGGTTGCAGGCCTGCCAGCACCCGCGTGCGCTATCCCCCGGGGTCACCCAACAGCTGACCGACCAGGAAAGGAAATCCCTCGCCATGGGGTTCCGTGTCGCTGGCCACGGGCACACCTCAGACCGGCTCAGTGACTCCCTGTGCCCATGTGCTGACCTTCGGGGAAGTTGCTCTACTGTAACCTTTAGCCAGATCCCCGTGAACACCAGGGGGTTCTACCAGCAAACCACGCGGACTCCAGAGAGGACGGGCACCAGGGGACCCCTTCACCTGGAGGCACCGGCCGAGGGAGGCCCCGCATGCCTGGGTGGGAGGCCCGAGCCAGGTGTCCTTGCCACGTGGGACACCCCAGGAGCTGAGCCATGTTGCTGAGCACCATCTGGGGGGCAGCACTGTTCTTGGGGTTTGGCATGTCTGTCCCCATCTCGTCCCCTCTGCACCCCCCGACTCAGGGTTGAGAAAATATCATTTAGCCTCTGGCAGATGGCATGATCTTCTGCTCGCCACAGAACACGAAGACCACCGGCTGAGAAGGCCTGGCCGCCTACCTGTGAACGAACCTGCATCGCTACCCTCCTTGACTCCTTTCCATAGTAGGTGCTCAATAAATGCTTACTGATGCCCTGGCCCAGCGCCCCTCACGCCCGCCCGGTGCCGTCATACCCGACACATTGGCTGTGCAGGAGCCAGTCACGGGGGCCCACCCACCAAAGGCCTTTCTTATTCAGACTCGGATTGTCTCCAACCGGGACCATGTGTGCCCACATCACCGCCCTTCCCACAGATCGCACAGCTTCGGGCACATTTTTAAACGACTTGTCTCATCATTAAGCAGCTCTGTCTACTTTGTGTATTTAAAAACTTTTCATAATAGAAGGTGAAAATCAGTTATTGCTTTATGAACAACTCTATGATATTGATGATCGTGCCGTGTGTGTTAAACCTCTAAAACAGTGCCAGTGACAGAAAGGTGTCAATAAGATCAGAAATAATGTCCAAAACTGCTTTTTCAAAATCCTCAAGCAGCATTACTTGGTAAAATAAAATTATAATATTTCATATCAGTTAGAAGTAACTCAATTATTGTAGTTTTGCATGCAAAGGAAGTAAAAACACTGGATTGGGTTTTTCTTAAGTTGAAAGGAGTAACGTGCTATGTAAACATTTCAGAGACCGCTCTGAGGACAGGCTCCTAACTGTCTCCCCTGTGCACCATCCCTCTCCAAGCTGGGACCACTAGGGGCTGTCCAGTGGATGCCCATGTGCAGAGGGAGGGGCGCTGGGGAGGGGCGGGGCG